TAAATACTGGGTAAATAGCTATCCTTTGTGGGTCCCTGAAAATTATTGACCAATTAATCAACACATCCTACTCAACACATCCTACCCCCTACTTTTTAGTAGCGCGAAAATTCACCCACCAAATTTCAACACATCCTAGTAGGATGTGTCGTGGAATTACTGTTAGTTCTGTGAGAAGTAGAGGCCTCGGGGAACCAAGAATGGATGGGCGAAATGGAAGTTTGCGTAAAACAAGTTGATCAACAGCTCATCGTCTTCTACTATTTCTTCTTCCAAGTTGGCTGGCGTGATATCGTTGCCAGGCTCGTCCGGCTGCTGCTCTCGTATCGGGGCGAAATTGTCGCTAGGTTGGCCACGTTGTTGCTCCCGCATTGGAGCTGTGGTGAAGCCTTGCCGTCCCCAATTGCTGTGATCACTCTCAATTTGGTGCGGGAAGTTGGTCAAGGGGGTCTATAGATCGGTAGAATCCCAAACAATTTGCTCTAGCTCTCCTCGGCCAGTACTCGTGTGCGTCTCCTGTGGTGATACGATAAATCGTCCCGAGCCTGGTCCCGAACCGGACCGCAGAGTGTGCTTAAGATAGATGTTTCTCCTTTTCAAACCGCGACGGGAAGGTTGGTAGTGGCACTGCGTTGCAGCGGATCTGCATCGTTGGCATTCGGGAACACCAGCATCGCATTTGACATGCTTTCGTCGACACTGAATGCAAGCGAGTGCTGATAGTTTATCGTTTCCTCCCTGAGAGGTAACTCGATGAGACAAAGGGCCAGAATCCATAATTAAAAATGTTCTTCTACTGAGATGAACTGGGATATGAGCTGGCTTAAAATGAGAATGTCATTCTATGTAAGATATTGGAGAGGACATGAATTACACCCCCTTCGATAGCTTGGGATCAAAACAGTGGTTTTTGGGCTAAGCCTCATAGATCATAGCAGCCCACAGCTTTCCTGTTACGAATTCCCGCCTGGGCCGACCGATGGTGCAATCGGATAAAAGGACGCTACGGAGTCACCCGGTTTGTGAGCACTTAAGCTACCTGGTACTTCACTACATAAATCACTTGTGAACATGCCTTGCTGACCCCTGTAATGGGGCCGATGATGCAAGGACCCAGAGGGCTGTCGTGCTCTCCTGAAAGAGTAGCTGTTGGGAATCATCTTTTCTTACACTTGGGAGTATATTAGCTCAAAATATACATAAAGTAGGTCAGCTAATTATAATAGATTAGGTAGTCCCTTTTGTTCGCTTATTTTATATAATGCTAATACTCAACACTCATTTCTTTTGGAACATACAGCTAGACAATTTGGGCAGCGACCCTGCCTCTATATTTTATAAGCTTAGCACCTAAAAAGGCTATGCTTCTCTATCCGTAGGGTATAGTACATTGTTTTAATCACTACAGCTACCCATGGCATCTTCTATGTTACCTTCAGGGGGACTTTCAGGAAGCATGTGGCTGGGAAGAAGCTTAAATTCATCTGTTGCTTTTCATGTAACGCGCTAATACAATTGAGATGGTGGTATGGAGTAGAAGTGTAATGGTGGGACTCTTGACAGGTCACTAGTGAGCGGCATTGTTCCGACAGAAAAGGGTGTGAAAGTGATAGCTCTGCCGTTATTTATGTACCTAGTATTTGACCATGCTACATACGACATTTGGAGTATGGATCTTCTGTGGAAAAGCATGGTAAAGTAGGGAGGTAGCGTCAATATCTTCTTCCTCACGAAGTATTTCACCATTCCGAATACAAATAACGTGCTCTTATTCAACGTTTTAGGCTCATGCCTTCTCCACTCATGCTACGACCTTGCACGGGGAGGAGCATGGTGGAAAACGGCGTGCGCCAGTCATCCAAGGTGTCATGAGGACCCAGCAACACCAATTCGACTATAAAGCCGTTGCCCCCTAAATTCAAGAGCCATTTATGACAGTATCTTGATCTGATTCACTCTGTACCACTTCTTTTCTAGAAACAGACTGGCGCCGTCGTCGGCTGCAATTAAGATGCTTGATTCCACAGTCCCTCGAAAGCGTTGGTGGAGGATCCAGTGGTATGCCGACGAGGATACGCCTGAAGAGCGCAGGTTCCTCATTAAGCTTGACCTAATCGTGGTACCCTATGCCATTCTTGCTTATTGGGTCAAGTACATCGACCAGAGTAACTTGAGTATGTATTTGATCCACCCAACTTTGTTGAATATGCCGAGCTGTTAGTAATCCTCCTTTGACAGACAATGCCTATGTCGCCGGTATGAAGGAAGACCTTGGATTTTATGGGAACGAACTAGTACAGCTTCAAACAATGTACACGGTCGGGGCAGTGGTTGGAATGCTGCCTTTTATGTTCCTGTTCACCTACATCCCAATGTATTGGACCATTCCTTTCATGGATGTCATGTGGGGAGTTTTCACACTTCTACAATACCGAACATCATCATTTGCAGAGGCTGCTGCATATAGGTTCTTGGTTGGCTTCTTTGAGGTATACTGAACCGACAATGCTCGTCTTATTCGATACTGACTGTAACTGCTTCGCTTCTAGGCCGCATTTTTCCCGGCTATGCACTATGTCTTCGGTATACAACTTCCCCTTTTGAGTATGTGTGTCTACTTACTAAGTGTCCTTCATAGGCTCATGGTATCGCGGTCATGAAATTGCCCGACGTGGTGGGCTCTTTTATGTCGGACTTAACCTAGGCACCTTAACTGCGGGACTCGTTGCAGCTGGCGCTTCTCAGAGACTCGAGGGCGTCAATGGCCTCGCTGGATGGCGTTGGATGTATATCATTTGTGCTCTGATAACCTTTCCAGTCGGCATTCTAGGCTACTTCCTACTTCCCGGCAGCATTGATAAGCCCAATCGGTGGATACTAACCGAGAGGGATATAGAGATCGCTAAAAGACGCCTCGAGAGCAGCGGGCATGTCACTCATGGCACTTTAAAGCTCGGGCATCTGAAGAAAATCTTCAGGAGCCCTCACTTCTGGACAGTTATCCTTGTCGATGTACTCTTCTGGAATGCTGGAATCCATAAGAGTACAGGCAGCTTCTTGCTGTGGATCAAGAGTCTTAACCGATATAGTCCGGCTAAGATCAACGAACTGGGAACAATTACGCCAGCCTTAGGTATTCTCTACAACATACTCATCTGCTTCGCCTCCGATTTGATACTGGGGCCAGCATGGGCAATCACATTGGCATCTACTCTGAACGCTATTGGTCTTGTAATCTTAGTGATCTGGAATGTGCCGGAGCCTGCTAAGTGGTTTGGATTCTCAACCATGTACTGGTCAAATGCCCTCTCCAGTGTTTTGCATGGTTGGGTAAATACATTGCTTCGCGACTCGCCGCAGGAACGATCTTTTACACTTGTTCTGATCACAATCATCGCGCAATCTTCGACAGCTTGGACCCCGCTTCTTACTTTTCCAACTGTCGAGTCCCCAAGCTATCCCAAAGGATTCGCGTTCTGCCTTGGATGTGCTATCGCACTTATTGCCGCAACCCACGTTCTCGATAGATACATCAAACTCAAGGAGTAAGTCATTATTGTCTGGGTACGAGAGCACTTGTTTGAGGATGCTAACATTCCTTGCTCCAGAGCAAGTTCCAAGGCCAGTCTCAGTGAAGGAGAGACCCAGGGCGACAGTGTCCTGGTGGAAGGCGGGGGCTCAGAGAAAGGCTTGGGTGTTACGTCTTCTTCGAAAGAGGTTCGCTAAGGCTTGCTGAAAAGGAGAGAAGGAGTTGGTGCCCTTGAATATATAGTGTAGCTCGTCCTCCGGGCTTCAATAATAGTCAACATCATACAACGTGTAAATTGAAAGGGGATTGATTGCCTCTGAAAGATGAATTCCTGTCTTCCTTAAGCGACCTCACCTTACCCTCAAAGTAGACTCGAGGGAATATAGTAAAAGACGCCCAGTTGTTTGTACATTGGCATGCTGAAAGACCCCAAAGCGATGTGAGGCAAGTCTCAACGATGTGTCCTCTGCTTTGAATCTGCGCCCAAGCTGGGTCGAAATACTATCCAAATATCCTGTTCGGTTAACATTACTTTCTTCCATCACCTCAAGGGCTTCTCGAATGTGCGTGATAGCTTGATCAAGATAAGCATTGACCCCGGATTTCGAGAACCAAGTTTCAAGTAAATTTCCAAGCTGTTCGAGATGTTGAGCTTGCTGTAGAGGACCTTCCGTTACCGTATCTAGCGCTTCACGGGCCTGTTTCACGGATTTCCAAAGTTATTCTTCCGCTCCCTGTCTTGCGGAACGGTGATTGCTCTGTATAGTCAAGTTCTGGCGCCACCGGTTGAAATCTAGACTGTGCGACGGCACATGTATATTGCCCGCTCAATTACTGCAATAGCTTCATCGAGACACTGTTCGTTTCCTGTCATTAGGCACTTCCTGCCAAGCTGAAAACCAAGCGCTTTCAGCCATTTTGGGACATCGGGATGGTTTCGAGGTACCGCACTAACAACCTTTTTTATGGCATTTACAGAGGCGTCAAGAGCGTTGGGAGTTCCATTTCTTGGATACATCGCCCAACAGAGACCCAAGCGCTTCAATTACTGGCGTCAAAGCAGGTTCCCTTCTGTCGTACGCTGTATGCTTTGACGGACGGCTTTGACGGCTCCTTCAAGATCGCTCATTACCCCCGTTCTCGAGCATGTCTTGCCAAGCCAGTACCCAGCGTGTTGCAGCCACCGTCGTTCAGGTAGTGGCCTTCTAGAATTGGAGTAATCACAACTATATCTCCTAGTTCAAGCAACACATGAGTTCTCGCAGTTAATATGTCCAATATTCTATTTGTTCTTCTGCATTAAGCACTGTTGTTTCCACCAAGTACTGCTAAGATATAATACCTGAAGCCCTGGCACATAATGTTGAAGAGCCATTGAAATACACCATCCATCTAGACTTTCACTATCAGGTATCCGTATTGAGCCTGAACTACTCGGCGGTAAAAGTAGATGATCGTGGAAGAGCCTCATTTACCAGACGATGATGCGGTTGACACGGTCAACGGTAGCGTCATCAACGCTGGCAGGTGCGTCTTCGCGCTTGAGCCACTGAATAGGCCGATCAGCCCGGTCAACGCTGGCGGGTGCGTCTTCGCGCTTAAGCCACTGAATAGGGCGGTCGGCCCGGTCAACGCTCGTTACGCCCTCCTCGGGCACAGGAGCAGCATCGACGGTGCTGACTAAGGCGAGGGCGACGTGGAAAAGGGTAGATGGCTTCATGTTGAAGTAGATGAATGACTGCTTGATCTTGAATGAAGGGGTGGCGCAGTGTTATGAACAGAAAGGTCAGAACAGGGCTTCTGAATCTTAAGGAGGGCTGCTTTCTACTAGAGGTTGCAACAACTTTTATACTTGCATTTGGGCTCGTCCTTCAACGCCCCTCTTGATAAGAGAGAGCCAAAGTAGCATGAGGGAGGGGTAATACAACATGTTCCAGATGGCCGACCTCCAGACAATTCCTTCAGGGAAAGATTACACCCTATCTCGGTGCTTGGAACTTTTGTAACACTATTGGTTACCGTAGAGTCGAGCCACGAGACAACGACTCGTCCCACAGGCCGACGTAACATCATAGATGCCGGTCCAAATGTCGGGAAAGCATCTTGAGTACTTCAGATTCACGAACCAATGAAAGACAAATGCGATTACCTCACAGGCAAGCTACAAGAGTAATTAAGCCGAGAAACATCTATCTATACCTTACAGGGAACAAGAATTGTCCTTTAACAGCAGAACTTTTGCAATGCAACCACGTGAGTGATACTATGCGCTCCATGAACTTTTGCAATGTATCCGCTTCAATGACGCCATACGCTCATCTACGATTTGATCTCGTTTATCAACCTATAGAAGTTCTTCCAACCCCTGGTCAGTTCTTGTTGTTGTCGCTAGGATCCATTCTGAACCCAAGCTGAATAGTGGGGAAGTCAGGGTCTAATCACGTTCCAGGGCGAGCCTGGCCTGTTGCCATTGATAAGAGTAAATGTTAGGAGAACTACCATCGCTTGCTTCCATATGGCGCTTAGTATTAATGCTGTAATCGTTATTGTAGTTAAGGTGTTGAGGCTTCTCTAAGTTAATATTGGAGCTTGTCTACCGCCATAGCAGCGAGGACAAAGATCAAAGACGATCCTTTTGCTCATCAATAAAATAGAAAGCTTGAAATATATTGGGCCAAGGAACTTCTATAGGCCGCAACAAAAGTCCTGTGCAACTTATGCTCATTCGGTTCAAGAAATAACGAGAGCTCATTGGGCAAAGAGCGGATGGTACTCTCGAGACAAGGATCTTGGAAGAAATGCCATAAGAATGTAACCGTAATTGAGGGGTAATCAGATAACATCAGACAGGAATGGGCTCAGCCGTTTTTAGTTCTATTATATACAATAAAGGCTGTTTTGCTACTCATTGACTGTATGAATCTCTTTTTCTATTGTTATTTCCGTGGCATTTAATAACGTTGGTCTATCATGTCTGTTAAATATGATTCCTTACCGTCTCAGGATGAGGGGCGTTTGTGTATATGCAGTCATACAATTGACCATCCTGTTTCCTCACGATGGTTAATGAATAATTCTTCTTCCGGGTCTAGATACTGGCTCCATTCTTTTTTCTTGAACGGCATCTTGCTACTTTCCCTGGTTTTGTCTTGGGCTTATATGCACGTAGGACAGGCTTCCTACATTCCAAACGAGGTGTACAGTAAGGATTTTACTTCACTGTTCTTATTATCAGGGCGTATATTAATATTTACGTTCACTAGCACCTGCTCAGTCGGCAATCAAATACGAGCAAAAAGTATTTTTGCCAGCGACAAAGTCCGCTCGATCCCCATACCAGGGTTCTTCAGATGAAATCAACCGCTTGTGGGAGGCTCTTTATAATGGTTAGTCTTCCTCTTCTATTCAATTATCTTTGACTCGCAAAAGACGCCATTTGGACTCACAATGAAGTTGCTAGATTTCGCCCTCTCTCTGATAACAGGCAAGGAGGCGGCTCGTCTTCCCAATGCCACCTCTCCAATGGCCCAAGAACCCACTAAATACATGGTCCAGCTTGACGTTTTTCATCAGCTTCACTGCCTCAATCTTATGCGGAAGCTCGTGTATCCTTCAGTGTTCGATCTCGACTTGACGTCTGGGTCAGAAGAAGCAGAGGAGAATTTGGATCATTTCGAGCACTGCTACGATTCCCTGCGGCAAGCGTTGCAGTGCAACGCGGATCTGAGCACCATCTACTATGAATGGGTGCCGGAAAGAAATAGACTCGTAGGAAACTTGGCAACAACGCATACCTGCAAGAACTATGATTCAATTATACAGTGGGCAAGGGATCATCAGTACAAGGGACCTCTTGACTACACGGCCAAGGTGGAAGGGGTTCCCATAAGGCATGTTTCGCATGTTTCGGGTGGGAAGAGTTCACATCATCACATGTAATAGAAAAGGATAACAGCTACCGTTCAAATATTAATAGCAACGTGTCAAGCCTGGGTTACTTACGAACAAAGTCAGAGGAATGGACCCTATGTGACAGAGGGTGGCGAATCATATGCTCTATTATGTCTCTCTGATCTAACCAAGGTGTACTTTGCTCCCTGGATGGCAATCTCGAACTTGACCATAATAGGAACGAATACTTCCTTTTCAGCGTTCACCACCTATCCAGCAGGACATCTCTTGTCCGCGATATTATTTTACATATGATAGTTAAGTTGAGCAGCAACTTGATAGAATTTTAGCCAGTACCCTCACATCGCCACCCGTTTGTGTCGCGATGAGCCGTTTGTGACACCGGCATCGTCAGATGACAGCTGAACTCTCTAACACTAACGGCCATCTCTGAAATGGCTTTGCTGGTGCAATGAACACGCGGACAGCTGGCTAACAATTTTGAAACGGATGGACATAGATCAAGTTGTTATGTTTGATGAGCTTCGAGTGGTCGGTTTGGACTTGCTTTATGTGGCATCTCAATTAAATTCTTGCTATGAATGGCGGTCTCGATCGCAACTCAAAGATCAGCTTTTCTAGTTACTTCCATTTAATCCTCCGACAAGAATGGAAATCCCAGAATTTGGAGACATCGGTCTGAAAGGGGGCCTTTTCATAATAGGTTTCCTGATAAGGAGATGGATTATCTGGATAGTATGTTCTAGGCAATAGTTAAGTCGGGGTAATATAAGAACTTCAAAGCGATATTTCTTAGGTTACTTTAAGATCTTCTATCCTTTATATAGAAGCCTATTTTTCACTTTCCGAGGACTATTAAGATAGTAATAATTTCTACTATAGTAATAGAGAGAGTTATCTATATACGCTCTACTCCGTATATCTTATCTAAGCCGCCTTGCGCAGACCAACGTTGTAAGCAGACAGAACCGGATTGATTGGCTGGAAGACGGTTGTGCCACCGGCCTCGCAGTTACCCGATGCTCCAGAGGTGATACCCTGGGCCTGATCACCGGTGTAAAAAGAACCACCAGAGTCACCGCCTGCAGCGCAGGCGCTGGTTCGGGTCATTCCAGTAACGCGTCCTTGAGAGTAGTTGACAGTTACCTTCAGGGCTGTGACCTTACCACAGCGGACTTGGGTAGTGGAGCCGGAGCGGCAGATGCTGGCTCCAACGGCGGATTCCTTACTACCCTTGACAGGGAGGCGGTTTTTGTCGCTTCCTCCCCATGGATTGATGCGAGCCATGAGGTTGAATGTTTTGGTGTCAACTTTGATGTAAGCCATGTCGCCCGATCCAGGGAAGGTAGAACCAGCGAAACTACCCATAGCCTGGTTGTTGTAGGTCACCTTGTCACCTGTCTTGCCACAGTGTCCAGCGGAGACGAAGCCATAACCGACGTTGAAACCGATAGAGCATCTGGTGTTTCCTCCGATGATGTAGGCATCACCGCCGTAGACGTTAATCGCACTAGTGGTGAAAATCTCTTCAACTATGCGAATTTCAAACTCAGACTCGGAGAGGCCAACCTTCTTAGCGAGCTCCTTGGCATGGTCGAGGCTATCAGCGAGAGCCTCGATGACTAACTTGTTGCTGGCCACATCGACATAGTAGCTGGCGATACCAGACTTCGTCTCGGCAGTACTCATTATAGAAGCCTGCTCGATATCGGTGTTATCAAGAGCTTCCTGGGCCTGCTCGAGCTTGGATAGGGTATTGGACACGATGACGGGGTTGCCTCCGGCAGCGGTCACCTTTTCAGCCGAAGTTTCATCAGCGACGGCAACATTGACCTTCTCATCGTGCTCGCCGATCCAGGCGCCAGCGAAAGAAGCACCAGCGGAGGCCTGGAGCTGACCAATGAGCTCAGAGGCGTCGATGTCTCGCTTGACACGAGAAACAGCCTGCTCAGCGTCGAGGCCCAGGTCGCGCTTCATGGCATCGAGTATCCGGGGATGAAGGCTTTCCGCTGTCTCAGTAGGGGCACCATAGGCAACTGGCAAGGCAACAGCCAGGCAAGCAAGAAGTCTTGTGAGTTCCATGTTTGGCGTTCTGATGCAAAGAGTGTCTTTGCTGCTATTAGATGTGGAAAGAAGTAGAAAAGCCTACTGAACAAAGGCCAGAGTAGATGGAAGCATGTATCCTTATTTATACTTATCCTCACCTTAGTATTTCAATTAGCATCACGCCTTTTTGATCTGGTGAATGGCACAGTTTTGCCTTACACAGTCTTGCCTCGTATTACCTGCTGCGCGCTTTGCATTATTACAGCAGGTATTATTAGGACGGGAATCCTAAAACAGCAGTTAAAAGTATACATACCTCGCAATATTGCCTCTTAAGATACAGAAGTACTTCCTCCGTAGTTCAGGCAGGCGACTTTCTCCAAGGTCCGTCAGTATTATGGTAAGACCCTGCCCCGAAAAGGCAAGTATAAATGCCAATATGCATCTCGCAACTTGGCGCATCACTAATATAGAAGTCCTCACTTCCGGGGGACTACCTGCGTCCACTCATACCCCGGTCTGCCCTGTCGCCACAGGCGCGATCCTACGTGGAGTCCCATTATAGTTATCGCCGATAAATTAGACGTTTCAGTGATGACTCCTCGGATACGGCCAACTGGGCTTCCAATTGATTAATTGAGACGCATGGGAGCTGTGTGGTCATTAAGTGTAACTATTGCCTGTCGATTTGTCTGTCTTGCCAAGAGGTAGCGAATCACCGGCCAACCCTCATTCCTTTCATTAGTATAATAAGCATAAATACAACGCAACATACCATTTGCTTTCCAAGCAACGGGAAAGTAAAGGAAGGACTTTCACTTAGCCAGCCAGCGTCAATGTAATATCTCTAACAACTATACGGAGGACCTTTTCAAAAGTCTTTGCCTGCCAAGCCGCTAGCCGGCTTTAGCATTATGCAAGGTAACCACCCCACACAAATTATATATGAGAATTACCTGACCTTCTGACCCCTCCTTCCTTCAACCTAGCACCTTGAGATATATACCTGTAAGGCTTTTCATAATATATTTAGATATTATTAGAACAGAGCACCCTGTAATTAGGAAGATTATATAATTCTTTATTAACCTCTTTTTTTTACTTTAGTAGAGAGATCTCTCTATATATAGCTATCTATATTACTTCTATATATAGCTAGTTTAGTTAAATAACTTTTCTTAATAATTTTCTTTTTAATATAATATAAATATAGAAGTACTTTAAAACTATAAATAAGAATATATTCTAATTTTTTACCTTTTAAAGTCCTTTTTAATATAATTTAATAAATATAATCTTAATATCTTACTATAAATAGATATTACTTTTAGAATTTATATATTTTTATAATCTTTATTAACTTTATTTAAAGATATATTAAGCTTATATAAAGGTTCTTTAAAGATAAATTTAAGGTTAAAGGCTTCTTTTATTAATTATAAAAACTTTATTATTTTAAATTTATTAAGTAACTCTTTAAGTTATATCTTAAGCTTTATTTTTAATTATATTTTAAATAGTATTTTAATTATATTATTACTTTATTAATCTTAGCTAAAACTTAAAGTTAATTTTATATTAATTATCTTATTATTATTATAATTAATAATTCTAGTCTTTACTTTAATAATATAGTTAAAGCTTAAATATAGCTTAATATAACGGTTAAGCGACTTACACTAGACAGAGGTCTAGGGTAGGTCAGGGTTAAACTAATTAGAGTGTTATTCTAAGTGGCACGATTAGGTTATCTAGTTACTATGTGAGTTACTACTAATGTGCGAGCACTAAGGAGCTAGTTTTAATAAAAGCAGTAGTAATAGTATTAATAACTATCTAAAAGAGTGTTTCTATTTAAGAAATAAATATATATATATATCTAAGGGGAGCGATATAATTATTAATAAGCATTATAATCTAGATTACTATAATTATTATAATCCTATTAATTATTATAGAATATTATAATAATTAATAAGGAAAAGTAGGGTATATATATAATAATATATATAATAATAGAGTTTATAATACTTAAGCTATAAAGGTATTTATATAATTATAAAGTTAAGTATATTACTTACTTTATAAGTTATATCTTAAGATTAATTATATAGTTTAAACTATAAAGGTTTTTATTTACTTTTTTATAAAGTTATTTTTAAGCTCTTATATATAACTTCTTATAATAATATTAGATTAATTTTAACTCCTTTATCTAATTAGTCTATATTATAAATTAATATAATATTAATTAATATTAAAAGAATTCTCTTTAAATTACTATTTAGGTTTAATAGCTATATCTTAAAGCTCTAGATAGAATTAATTTATATAAGATAAATATATTATTATTATTAGTTATAATCTACTTATATTAATTATTAATTATCTCCCTTCTTTATTACTTTATAATTATAATAGTAATTATTATATATAAATAATACTTAATTAATTAAAGAGCTATATTTAATATATAATATATAAATTATAAATCTTAATTATAAAAAGATTAAGAATAATAACTTATATATTACTTTAATTTAAGTACTAGTAGATTATATTATTAAAAATAATAATTTTAATAAATTTATTTAAAATTTTATATATAATTTTTAAATAAAAAAGTTCTTACTCTTAGAGTTAATCTTAATATAGGAATTTAAATAAATATCAAAGAAGTCTCTATATACTCTTAATACTTATAAATATATAAGCTGATTTTAACCTTTATTTATATTTAGATGTTGACCCTCGAGCTTCTCTATGCTTTTCAGAGCAAGCCCAATGAGCTCCTGTGTGTACTTATCCACGAGCTCTTCTGATGATGAGCCCTGGCAGTCTTGCAAGAACTGCTTCCATTTCGGCCAATGCTCGGGATCAAAACTTTCCTTTTTCCGAGCCAGGCCAATCTTTTGCGCGCGGCGCATCTGAGCATCTGACCAAACCTTCATGGGCGCATAGATAAACCACATGCACATAACTCGCACGTCCTCCCCTGTAGCTTGGTACTTTTTCTGGAATATACATGTTAGGGCGGGAAGACTCCAAGTGATGCCCTTTCTGAAGGCGAGAAACTCCATTTCCGAGAGTCGGGCGAGCCAGGCTGTGAAGTTTTCCAACTGGTGGCCATCGTCTTCAACATCTCCAACATCCGCTTCAAGCAATGTCAGCTTATCGAGTCTTATTCTTGAGGGGTTCTTTTATAATGTTGGAATACTTACTACCTATAGTATAATAATCCGCAATTTTAATGCTTATTTCAGGCATATGTGTCCAGAAGCTTAAACGATATGAATCCTTTAATATCCCGGTCCTTGCGGGGTCGGACACAGTTTGTTGCTGGAGCTGGACGCAAAAGTCAATGAGCTTGGATTGTTGGTCGTGTCGGAGGCGTCTTGACAAGCCATGAATGGTGAGCGCGACATTGTCGGCGTGGTAATACAAAGGGTCATCAAAGGGGTCATCGGGAGACGAATTGGCTGCCGCAGATGCTGCCGCAGAGGTCAGGGCAGTAATTGCCTCTACGGCCCTGGCCACAGAGCAGTCATCCTGGGTGATCATATCGACAATGACCTCGCCCTCTTGTCCGAATCGCAGCTTTCCAGCGTCAATAAACAGCGAGGATTTCAATTAATGAAGAGGATACTTACATCATCATATGTGTCTGGTAGTGCCTCCCCCCGCAGTGATCGTGGCGGCCGCCCAGCAGGAAAGGGTTCGACTCAAGCGAGAATCAGCCTGATTGCTATTGAATTGATGGGTGGAGGAATCGAAATTGGAAATTTTATGGCGCTGGTCCAGCCTGCTCTGTGTAGGGCGAGAAGTAATAACGTGGATACCGCCAGGCGAGGCCAATCTAGGTCCGAGAGAACAAACGTCGTACGCACGTTGAACACTCGCCACTCGCGAATGAGACGAGGTGGCATGCCTTGTTAAATCAATCCGGGCACGCGGCGACCGAAGGAAGGCTTCGGAGAGCTTTCTTTCCCTCGCCATCTCATTGTCTGTCAAGAGTCAGAGGAGTTGGGAATGGCAGAGCACGGGTGGAATCATGGAGAGTACATGTAGGTAAGTTACGCTCCAATAAGAATCAAGGGCCCCGCCTCTTTAATGGAATTCACCTTTTAGCTAGATTTTAACCTCGGCTGGCTTGCCTACGTCCGTTAAACTATAAATATCTTTTCTCACCTTAGGTAATGCTGATATAGCAAACCTTATTGATAGTTTACTGCTGTTTTCCAATTTTATAATTTTACAGCAGAGATGGCGTAGCCAGTTATGTTTGTCGGGAGATGCTGGGGCATATATGCTGTTGGTCAGCTGTGTTAATTCTTTTAATAGCACCAGGCTCCAGCAGGCGAGACTTTTTATACTAACTACTGGTAGTACGTGGAATGCTATTGGTGGTGTGCCCTAGGTTTTCCCTTTTCTTAGTCAACCTTCGCCCTCGCAATAGCATAAGTTCTCAGCTAGGAGAAGGACGGTTCTAACTAATAGTCGAACCAATATTCTATTGTGATGAGGGTAGAATGGTCATTAATTTAAAAAGCGCTAGATATCCGTATAAACATACTCGTATTCTAGCCTAGCATAATACCATGACACTTCGTGCCAATCTTCCATAATCATGTGGCCAAAGAATGGGAATATTGTCAAAACTCTAAGTGTTTATTAAACAGTATACCTTTATCTTAATGTATATTATCGAGCTTTATAGAGACTTTTATCTATGCTATTGTTTTCCTCTTACGGCAAGCATAACTCTTTACGCTTCCCATCTGCATTGCAACTGGCAAACTTCCACCATTGTCTGTGCCAACCTCCAATCACTCTAGGCATAAGCCATCTGACTGGACCAGGAATTTCTGGCCAATCTTTCCATAAGCCATCCTCGTAACTACTGTCCAAGTTGTATAAGAAAAACATGAGAACGTCCGTGATGCCACTTCTCGTCACTGAACTCGAACCCCACTTGTCAAATTTCTTCTCAGCCTCAATTTGCTCAGAACTACCTTCACTGGGAGCGTTTGGATGGGTTGCAAGTGACGCGATGAGTTTAATCTCGTTCCGGAAATGGAGTTCAAACGGTTGCTGAAATGCAGACATGAGGGATAGTAGCTTATCCGACGATAGGTGGCTACCATTTTCCAACGAATCCAAGTACTGCTGGAACGCCTGAAGTAAGGGCATGAATGCGTCTGGGTATCCTTTCGTTAACAACCAAAAAAGGAATGAAGCAAGCATTCGAGAGAACTCACCATGTTCTTCATGCGTCTGTTCAAAAACGCTGTCACCAAGCAACTTCTCTGCTTCAGGAAAGTAATTACTCTCTTCTTCTTCTGCATGCGTCGTGACTAACTTGCACCACGCGCGGCAGTAGCCTAGGAAGGCGTCCATGTCTGCTTCTTGGACGTGGGGGGCTTGGAGGTAAATAGAGTTGTACCCGCGAAAAATGACATTGTGGACATTGCACATATGGCTTGCTCCCGAGATCCACATGTTATGCTTCATATTGCACCGTTAAAATTGAGTTTCTTGAAAAAAGATGAAGTGACTACTTTACCTGTTTGGTCAAGAAAGCCGGAGTCGGGATCAACGCAAGCGGCTGGTCCGCCCACGGTTTAGAGGTTGGCGTTGAAGCAGACATTACAATGGAATAATGCTATGAAAGAGATTATATGGTGTACTTTGTGAGATAGGAACAGCTTTCTAGAGGCATGGCTTTATATAAATTAGCTGAATCATTTCTGCCATTGTGCTGGATAGATAGACAACCGTCACGCTTCCACTGAGTTGGCGGCTAAATCAAACAAAATTACAAGTGCCAACCATTGGAATTTGTCAGCGTTACAAACAGCTTATCATATTGATTACCTTACAAGCGCGCGCTCGGCCTTTCGTGTGTATATGTAGCCTGCATGACCTTCTTGTTTCTGTTCCCTAAGAGGCTACGTATTGTGGTAAGGCAATCTATAGGTATTAAAAGTAATAGCAGAAGTACCTAGAACAACATATTGTTCAAGTAATAACACAACATATACTAATCTGTATTAAGTAATTTATGGGAATACGATGAGCTGAACTATTTTTATATGATTTTGCATAGCGATGATCTTTAGGGAGGCTATTCCTAATAGGGACGAATATCCCTCTTGGCATGCGGGCGACGAATTACGTGCTTAGATCCTGGATCAAGGGTATTAAGATGGCCTAAGGCTCAGGTGATCGTCCAAGAAGTGATCCTTTGATCATGCATAAGCAAAATAAGCTACGATCATTGGGGAGTTGTTGCTCGACAGTAAGTGGGCGACATCTGCATATGCAGGGATACCTCATTCCCAATGGGGTATAATCCTGCTCTCTAAAATTGTCAAATGGGATCAGGGGTCTGGAAGTATCTGGTTTTACGAAGTGATCGTATGTAGATTAGAAACATCTCGTCATTAGCATGTCTGTGCTTGACACCTATTACCCAGAATGGAAATAGGTGATAGCTTCGCTGAAAGAATGGAAGTTATGTATCAAAATATATAATCAACGGTTGAAAAGACTTAAATGTGTCGACCCCAAGACTAAATCAAACGCCACATCATTCACTTTCAACCTCTCATTTTCAACATGCTAGTCGATACGCTCTCGCTTGCTGGTAAAATTGCCATTGTGACCGGCTCCGGTAGAGAAAATGGCATTGGAGCAGCCATCGCCGTGGCATTAGCTCGCAACGGAGCATCTGTGACGATCAATTATGTCAGTGACTCTGTGACCGATCGAGCTCATGCGGTCGCATCTAGAATCGTGGCAGATGGAGGCCATGCTGTTGTTGTCCAGACCACGATTGACACTCCCGAGGGTGCCCGTCACTTAGCCCAGGAGACTCTCAAAGCATTCAACGCTGACCATATTGATATTCTAAGTATGTAACATGGCTGTAGTGTGACTCGACTCGAGCCAGGAACTAACTGTGTCAATTCAGTCAACAATGCCGGAGTGGGCTTTGCGGCCGACACGTTGGCCATCAGCCCCGAGCAAGTGACCAAAACATTAGATGTCAACATCAAAGGTCCAATCTTGGTTGCGCAGGCCGTTGTACCCTACATGCCACCCGGCGGTCGAATTGTCAACACTTCTTCGATTGCGTCTAAACTCGGGGATGCCAATATTCCGACGTACGGTGCCTCCAAAGCTGCCTTGGACAGTCTGACCTGGTCTTGGGCCAAGGAGGTAAGCTGAACCTCACCTATGAAAATCGAATAATGCAGCTCAATCAAGTGACGGCTAACGCGAATTAATTGACTAGTGGGGGCGCAGCAAGGGTATTACGGTTAATGCAGTCGCTCCTGGTCCTGTGACGACTGATATCGTCCAATTTGTCCCTGCGGATATGGTCAAGGCGATTCAGCAACCATCCATCGACATGACCCGAGCTGCTGACAGAGCTGGTACTCCGGAGGACATTGCTGACGCCGTGCTTTTGCTAGTTTCTGAGAAAGCGCGTTGGATTACGGGTCAATACGTTTCGGTCAGTGGTGGAATTACAAACTAAGAATCTTCATTTCGGCAACACGATGGCTTTGCGCTCCGGCGACATATATATTGTCACAGATCACATACAATGCAAGATTCGTCGATCATGGCTCAATATGTTCCCTGACAAGGTTCTCAGCGGACTATTCTGAATCCGTCCTAGTGCTGATAATTCTCACGCACGCCGAGGACCATCTTACTAGAAGTGGTATAAATAAATAGTTGTGCTTGCAACAACGCGTAGACGTCTGGGAGTCCATCTTATGTCTTGTTTTTTTGCTGGATTTTGCGTATATTTTTACAATGTCGTCTTCCAGAATCGACAATGGGCAATCCACTGTAGACCTCATGTTCATAAACATTTCACAACCGCAGGATATAAAGAACCGGAAAATACAACAAAAGATTAATCGCCATGTGATGAAACCTATTGGCCTTTGTCGGAGGGGCGAAAGGCAGAATCAGACAGTCGAGCTGGCCTTCAAATCCGATAGACTTGGGCGACAGCAGTCAGAAAGCCCAAAACGAAGCCCGCAGAACTCTCGAAGCAATTTGAGTGCTGATACCCAGCGCCTGCTAGCTCCAGCCCCATCCCTGAGCCTTCATAAAAGGCCCAGCTCCCATACTGTGCCCGCCCACACAAGCAAGATGCTCCATTTCTGTTAGCTGCTATTCGAGTCATATGTCCCCTTTCTAGCACATGTGTGTTCTAATATGATGCAGTGGCTGCGGCGCCAGAATCGCCCGTCTGTGCTCTGATGCGAGAGCTTTGCTTCACCCTTGCCTTCGTCGACGATGGTGCTCTGCATCTGGTTCTTGCCCGTCTTGAAATAGACCCGGAGCGGAACGGAGGGCAAAGATCCAGAGAGAACCAATACTCCTTGTCGCATTATAACGCATCGATTGGAGTAGTTAAGAATCGGCTTGAAAGCGCAGGACTCGCTGTCCACGATGCTATTGTTGGTGTAGTCGTGAACTTGGCGAGCTACGATGTCAGTTTTCACAAATGAAACCCATCTTCAGTGCAAGGGCTAATATGGATCGATAGTTGTTTACTGACAACTTTACTCGCTGGAAAATGCATATGCTAGGGCTGCAGAAGATGATCCAATATCGAGGCGGCATTGTCAGTCTCAATTCTCGGTATCTACGGGTGACGGCAACTTGGTGTGTAGAATTTTGTCAAAGCTAGGCGGGTTATATTATTGACATAAATAGGACCGATTTAGTCGGTTCCATGGCCATGGACCAAATTCCCTATTTCGCATTAGACCAGGCCGACCCAACCAAGGCTCGACATGTACAAGACAGCGCTTTCAAAGAATCTCTTGATGTGCTACAGAGGAATGATCCCGACTCAGCAGGCATCACAGTTCTTTTGAAGCTGCTTTTCAGCCTATCGAAATTGGTTGTTGTAAAGTCGGAGCTTGGGCTAAGTCAAGATCCAGCTCTGATGGAAACACTACACGCTATCGTATACATTACCTTAACCCTACCACGCTACAACGAACACGTCATAGGTGAAGAAGACCCCTTGACACCCATTCAAGCGACTTACGAAGCAGTTCGTCTGGCAGTGATCTTGTATTTGTCCGGGCCCGTGATGTTTGTGGCTGGCAACAAGTTCTCCAATCCGGTGGCTTCTCACCTTAGAGGGAAATTACCAAAGCTCCTCAAGGCGGACATCATCGACTGGACAGGCTTAGAACAGGTTGAGCTGTTTGTGCTGGCTTTTGGGGCCGTGACGGAAGTAGGATGTGAGAGGCATTGGATAATAGCCCAATTAAACCGCACCATGTTGGAACGGGGCCTGCGATGGAATGACTTGGTCGATAACTTACGCTCAATGGCATGGATCGATATTGTCTGGTCGGCCAAGCTGAACGGGCTGCGTGGTGACTTGGCGCATGTCAGTGGCAGCTAGATGGATTGTTCGGTTTTTTCTCGAGGTTGTTGAGATTCCAGGGGTGAATTTATATGTCCAGAAGCTCTATCTTAACGATCTCATGTAGTTTATCAATTTAAATTGTTCGATTTGAGCACAAAAGCTTGTTTACCCCATTAGATCTTCTACGATTGGCCTGGCAAGCTCTTTATCTTTTATACATAACTTTAAGTGAGAGAGAATGAATCATAATTATGCCTGGAGGGATCAACTCATTCTTCGGGAACGCTTATCACCTGGAGGGATCAACTCATTCTTCGGGAACGCTTATCACCTGGAGGATGGCGAAAAGAATTTTGTCTTAATCTATACTTGATATCACGATGACGGGATTGAGGTGGTCAGAGGGATAGGGATAAAAACTCTGATAACGTTAAATGCCATCTGACAAATGTGTGGCTGCCGCTTCGACAGAATGCTGACGCTACTGAAACTGAAGCAGTGCTCCCACAACAACAGCAAGGTGTCATCGATGTTTACATTCTATTGCTAAGAAAAATTAAACGGTAGGGAGAGGGAATTACTCAATCCGGAGCCCCCGCCTGCGTCCGCTGCCGAGCCCGCTCCCGAGTCCGCTCCCACGTTTACATGTACGTGTCCATGTCGAGTTGTTGGCATCCACTAGTACTAAAGTTCCAAGTGGCCCACAGGTTCATGTTTGCCCATGGCTGAACTGAATCCGTATGACGCAATCTAGCAAGAGAAGACATCTAGTCAGCTCCACGTTACTGAATCCTTCCGCTCAGCTGGGATGGAGTAGCAGTAGATACACCTTGTCGAGCGGACAAGAGAGCGGGCTATAGAGCGGACAAACTTAAAGCTGGGAATCACTAAAGGCTCCACTGGAAGCATGATGAATATTAGCCGTTGATCGGAAAGAAGAAAGAGAAGTTTACGGCTGCTCGGCACTATCTTAACTACGCCTTATGAAAAATGGGTCAGTCAGGATTTACGCCTTGAAACATGTTGTCAGGCTAACACGAATGAGAGAGGGACATCTTACGAATTGAATCTAGCTCTAGTGAAATCGAATCGAATGGAATCAAACGCCAAGGCATCCTTGTGCAACAAATTTATATCGAACCGAGTGTATCTTGCGTAGATTTGATATCTATCGAATGCTAATATTGGATCGAACGTAGCAGGATTCCAGGCGGAGCGCAAACCACGAATGAAACACATAGAGCAAGATATATCACTACATGTACTATTGTGACAAGGCTGCTGCTATACCTTGATATCTTAATATCAGGGAAGAGGATGAGCGGAAGGCGTTTAGAGGTTATCACATGTTCAGATAAGACATCGGAGAACTTAGTCAGTTGTGCAAAGATAGATAGATACTAAGCGGAGTACATGTCAATCGCCTCTTTTAGCGACAAGGGTGCATCAACCCATTGATTAATGCTGATGTTATCCAGCGGCAGTGAGGGCGTGTAAATTCCAGCTCTATTCCACATTCAAACGCGGTTATGACGCTTAAGTAAATGATCAGTCAGTAGAACAAGACGAATAGTAATATCGACTACATGGACAGAAATCTGGATTTAAGCAAGTTCCAATACATTAGCTCTATGAACAAATTGTAGCCCCCTTATACCACTACAAACGCTCTGAAGTACTGTTCTGCCAATTGGAATTTACCGCTGCCCAGTCCAGCTGTTGTAACATAGTGTCGTCGAGAAATTCTCCCTGGATGATTGATGGCAAAGTTAGGTGCCCCGACCAGCTATCGTCTGCGCCCACATCACCTAGATGACTGTTCGCAAGTTCATAATTGTCGGTGACAGTCACGGGCTGTTTATCTCCCAAACTCGCCGCCTGCTCTGCCAAAGCCCTGACCCTGAGTTCTTTAGCTCTGGTGACTAGTGTTTGAAGAAACTCAGCTTTGGGGCCCACGATCTCCGCATCGAAACCACTCCAAGGAGCCACCTGATCGTCGATGAGTTTCCAAGCGCGCTCAGCATTTGGACTAAGCGGCCTGATGAAGAGATGATATAGTATATAGAGCTTGATGTTGTATTGAGTATATGCCCTGGACGAAAAGGCGTACTTCTTTAGCAACTCATGAGTATGTAGGGAACGAGCGAGATCCATGACTTCAAGTGCCTCGGCCATGTTCTGCTCCGTTATAAATTGGTCTGGTGACGTCTCAGATCTTCGAATCTGCCATTTCAACCGCGAATCGAAGTCGAGCTTGCGCAGCACAAACCGCGAGACAAGGATCATATGGCGCTGACGGGGCACGACGAGCTTGGCGTGCTGGATGTATTTGTTGACGAAATCTCTGCCACGCGCCATGATCTGCTGCCGGATATCTTCCCGAGAACTTTCCGCCGATGACTGGGCTGTACACTCTCTGATAGCAGTGAAGGCTTCAATATTGATAAGCGTGGGTGTCATGCTCGTCCACCCCTCACGTGGCTGTGGCAGGCTATCCATGTCTGGATGCAAATCGTAGTCATTAACATTTAGTGGCAGGTTAACGGAAGGAGATTGGACGCTATCACTTGTGCCCGGCAAACCGTGGTCTTCATGGGCGCGTCTTTCAAAGACATTGAGGCACCACCATATCCTGCGTCGAATTTCGGCACGGAAAGGTGACATTCCCAGACGTCTACCATCGACATGAAACCCGAGCGAGCGAGCGGCACGTATGGTGAGACCGTTGAGAACCCAAGTCCCTTTGCCTCGATGTTGGATATTCAGTGCACCAATGTAAATTGTCAGTGCTTTGATAGTTGTATCTGAGGGCATATCTAGGAAATTCGAGTGAGCTAAGGCTTGCTCAAAGCCGTGCTTCAGAGCTAGTGCGCCTTGGAGTCCGTCTTGATGCAATATCTTTTCTACTTCTCGATCTTCCAGAGAAGCGCACGAGGCGAAGTATATAGCGAAGCACAGTGCAAGGTTCTCGGCTGAAGCCGACGAAGGATCTTCGATGGTGCTAAAAACGATGAGCTCATCCGTGGGAACATGAAGTATCTTGCAGCTTGCACATTCCTCCACAACTTCGACGTATTGTCTCCATAGGACGGCTGCTGCACTCTTGGTCGGATGAAGACCGTGTGGAGGATGAAGCATGCCGGGCACAGACAGTATCCCTAGGGGGTTGAAGGGCGAAGAGCTCTCAATAGACAGAGGGCACATCTTGACAGGCGATGTTGTCAATGTAGTGCGGGCGTGATTGCGCTCGTCATTGACGACTCTTGATAAAATATCATCACTAAAATAACGACTTGCTGCACCTTCCTGGAAGAGGATATCAGGTTGGTGGCTATGGTCCTTAGACGCGTCCTGCTGTTCATGCTGCAGGTGACTCAGTCTGGGCTCGATTTGAAGATCCGAAGCTCGGGTGCTTTGCGATTGATCGGGATATGAGACAGGCAGCACATCATCCTTCCTCGTGCTAGCCACAAGGCTCAATGCCTCCTCCAGTTCAGCAATCCTTGCAACCATACCAGCCTTCAGCCCTCTCTTGGCGTTGCCTCGAGGTTGGATGCTTATCGGCAGGTAGACGCACCTTATTCCGGTCTTTTGGCAAGCCGAGCATGGCTCTTTCCTATCGCAACGAACTTTACGGCGGTTGCATGGCTGGCAAGACCGGCCTGCTCTAGGGCCCGAGCTGATGTCGGGGCAGGCCGGATCACGACGTAGATCTAAGAATCGATCCAACGTTGGCATAGTAGGTGTTGGTGAAGCGGGTTCAGAAATCTGTGGCTGAGAGTTGTTTTGTGGAGGGCAGAAATGTGCATATTTTGACCGAGTCGGCGTACTCTGCTCGGGGCCGAGGATCGTTTTATTACTGTCGACCCAGTATTGCCCACACTCAACTTCACATGGAAACTTTGTATTGATTGGTCATAGCTCGCTAAGAACCATGGAGGTCCGGACGCATTGGGGAGATGGGGGTGGTATCGGTCTCGGCATGTAATCGAGCCGATGGGACTTGTCACTGGTCACTTGACCGTGGATAATGTCGAGGGATTCCCTGCCAATCTGATCTGCAGGTTGAAGTAAGCTTGAGTCATCCCCCGGTCCACTCGGTATTTCCTCGCACGTCGACTTGCATAGCACGACTGCGCTTCCAATGTGAAGTTATAGTGTTGACTACCCAAATTAAGCATGGCGAAGTGTTGGCCAGTTTCTTTGGGCAGGTCTCGCTTTGCTTGATCGTAATGGTCGTCGTGAACAGATAATTAGCCATCACACCGCCATCTGAATGACCTAGCTGGGGCAAGGGATTAAAGGAGAGAGCAACCAAACGGGGCCTTGAAGGGGGCGCTTATACCCTACTTCCCAGCACGATGGAAACGGGGCCTATAGGCATGCGTAGCTACCTAGCTTGGCTTATGCGTCGAAGCTTCCATATAAGGTTAAGCATGCATTTAATATACTGCTCTCAATGTGTAAGCAATCAACTGATGACTCGCCTCCACTTGGTGTGTTCTCATAAGTCGCGGGTCAGCGTCTCGGCGACAGATATACGGACTTTCGGTCACGGCTGCATTTCGTGCATCGGCGTTAGACATGAAAACGGTCCAAACTCAGCAGGATTAGTAAGAGGGATGGTCATTTACATTCACATAGTCAAGAATAGACGCATATCAAGGAAGAGACCCTACTCTTATATAAATGAAAGACAGCAGAGACTTATGCCTACTGGCTCCCCAATAATTTCTGCCACCAATACTCAATAACACCCGATCTGCCAATACAAAACCACCATGGCTACTAAAAGCGAGTTCCAGAGTTATAATCCAGCGACCGCCGAACACCTTCAAACTTTTGCCGAGTTATCTGACGTCGAGGTTGAGGCTGCTCTCCAAAAGGCTAATGACACGTACAAGAATATCTGGCGTCCTTTGCCAGTTGCCGAACGAGGCCGTCTTATGGCCAGAGTGGCCGTTCTCATGCGAGAGCGGACTGATGAGCTCGCCCAGTGCGCTGCTAGAGAACTTGGCAAACTCATCTTCGAGTTGAAGCTCGAGATTGGTTGGTGCGTCAACATGTTCGAATATTTTGCCGCCGAGGCGGAAAAGCTCCTTCAGCCAGAGGTTGTCGCATCAAACCCAGGGTGCGAGATCTGGTCCGAGCCTGTCGGCGTCATTCTTGCCATCGAGCCTTGGAACTTTCCGTACCTTCAACTGGCCCGTGTCGCTGCGCCGCAGCTCATGGCTGGAAATGTCTTAATTGCGAAGCCTGCTCCCAGTGTTCCGCAATGCTCCCTCAAGTTCGCGCAACTCTTTGTCGACGCTGGGGTTCCAAAAGGAGTCTACACAAACATATTCGCCAATGTCACACAGCTGGGGGGTCTCTTGGACGACTTTAGGGTCCGTGGAGTCACCTTTACAGGGAGCACGCGAGCCGGTGCCGCTGTCGCTGAGCGCGCTGGGCGCAATGTCAAGAAAGCCGTGCTTGAGCTGGGAGGTTCCGACGCGCTCATTATTCTTCCCGATGCCCCCCTGGATCAAGCTGTCGCTACCGCAGTAAACTCCCGAATTTTCAACACAGGCCAAGGATGTGCCGCCGTCAAGAGACTTATTGTCATTGGTGCGGAGCGAGGTCGTCATGTCACTGAGGCTGTAGTAAGCGCGTTTGCTTCACTTAAACCGGGTGATCCAAGCGATTCGTCGACCACCCTCGGACCAATCTCCTCCGAGAGAGCTCTGCAAGGTTTGCTTGCACAAGTCGGGTCGGCCAGAGCCGCCGGTGCAAAGGTGGCATATGGTGGAGGCCAAATCGACCGACCCGGCTGGTACATGGAGCCCACGGTTCTTACGGATATTGCACCGAACAACCCGATTTTCCAAGAAGAGACATTTGGCCCCATTTTGAGCGTATACGTAGTAGAAAGCGAGGTTGATGCCATCGAACTTGCAAACGCTACTAGCTTTGGGTTGGGAGCATGCATAATGACTTCAGACATCCCCTATGCAAAGGTGATCGCGGAGAAGATGGATGTAGGCATGGTATTCATCAATGGATCGGCTTACTCGGGTCCAGATATTCCCTTTGGCGGAGTTAAGAACTCTGGTTTTGGCAGGGAGCTGTCCTACATTGGCTTCAACGAATTTGTCAATAAGAAGCTCGTTCGGGTGACGCTAGAGTAAGCTGCGTGCTGAAGGAATAAAACTTGATGTTACTATGATTCTACGCTATTCGTGCTTAAAGTAAATGAAAGTTAAATCTTTCTGTCCGAAAACTTCGGCTACGCCTAGCCGGATCTCTCCGTTTTTACCAAGACCGCTGTGTGATCAACGTTATGCACCTTGAAAGGAAACAGCTCGTCACGTACCCCAGCTACAGCTTCACCTTCTCCACTGCTTCCTTAATTTGCCAGTATTCACCATTATCCCGCACACGACCCTAGTCTAGCTTAGATTCTTCGCGTCCACGGTCACAGCGAGGCACCTCTAGCTGGCGTCGCTCAAGGTACGCATCTCTCCTTCCACAGCGCGGATCCTTCCAAAGAACCGTAAAAGGGTCCAGAAAAACAAGTGGCTCAATGGACTTAACGTTATATTAAATCTTATATCCATCTCTGGGCTTACCTCCCCGCGCGTTCCGGCTTTCGGGCGAACATAAGCACTCTCCCCGACAGTCGGCATGTCTCCCAAATTTTACCACTGGCCGACGCTTACATCAAGCGTTGCTAATGGGGTGTCTCGCGTTGTGGAAACCAAGAAGTCTAAGTCCTCGGTATATCTCATTAATGAATTAATACAAAATTTCCTAACATCTTTCGATAAACATCCCAAGCCCTCAGATGATGGCTCTTCCTACCACGAAAACCTTCTGACCGTCTCTTGTCCTACACCAATATCTTAACTGGGAAGCAATGCCTGAAACCGTCTCAATGTATGTCTGCCCCTCCAGGGGCTCGGACTACGAACTACAGCAAGTAATCATTAGCGATGACCTGCGTAGTGATGAAATTATTGTACGATTAGTTGCCACCGGTATTTGTCAGACCGATTTCTCCGCTTGCAACGTGAGTAACCTAAGAGTGCTTGATACACTAGGCATTTCGCACAACTGACATTGCTTACTCTAGGGTCTCTTTCCCATGGCTTTCCCATTCGTTGGTGGCCATGAAGGTGCTGGCGTGGTGGAAGGAGTTGGCGTTGCAGTGGAACATGTCAAGCCAGGCGATCACGTCCTGCTAACGTATAGCGCCTGTGGAAGCTGCACGACCTGCAATAGTGGCCTTGTGCCTTATTGTCAAAACCTATGGACGAACAACTTCACAGGAGTTCGCGAAGACGCCAGTCGTCCCTATCTCTCTACGGTCCTGCCAAGGGGTGAGGATGGTTCAGCTGCCCCAGTTTCATCCTTCTTCTTCGGGCAGTCCACATTTGCCCAAAAGGCTATCATAAGGGCCAGTTCCGCAGTGGTTGTTCCTCATGACCTTCCGTTAGAACTACTTGCTCCTTTAGGCTGTGGAATCCAAACTGGAGCTGGAGCTATGCTCAACGTGCTCCGGCCTGAGAAAGGCCACTCAGTTGTTATTTATGGTGCAGGAGCAGTGGGGATGGCCGCTGTCATGGCAGCACGTACCACCCTTGCTGACAAGGTCATCGTTGTTGACATTGTCGACTCCAAGCTCAAACTCGCCAAGCAGCTTGGTGCTACACATCTTATCAATGGAAGAGAAGTGGCCGACACCGTCGCCGAGATCAAAGCATTAACCAAAGGACTTGGCGCAGATCGTGCAATGGATACGACGGGCAACATCACCATAATTCAAGACTCGCTGTTGAACTGTGTTCGCCCACGTGGAATTGCCGCCACCGTCGGCGCTCCATCTGTCGACAAGCAGGTTCATATCACGCCAGCCTTATATATCGCGCAGGGTATCAGCTATGTTGGAACTCACCAAGGTGATTCGGTTCCTCAGGAGGCAAGTCATCCTATCCTTTTCTTTTCTCATTCTCAGTATCAAGATAAGCTAATGACTCTTGCAGTTTATTCCCCGTCTTATTCAACTGTGGAAAGACGGCCAATTACCAGTCGATAAATTAATTAAGAAGTATTCATTTAAAGATCTAGCCCAAGCCAAGGAGGACCTTCAAAGTGGACGGTGTATTAAGGCGGTGTTAATTTGGAATTAAGTAACTAGACTAGAAGTTATATATACCTTATATGCCCTGAGTGTGTGCGTTGAGGAATGGAAGGCTCTATATCTGACTGGTCTGCCATGCCTGTCCAAATATATCTTAACAGCCCATGTAGCGTAGTCGCAAATTTTATGCGGTATACTAATACTCTTCTTATAATTATCCCTCAGTATATCAAGTACTTCTAAATAGACCTATTCGCTATAAGGAAAACTTAAACAGGACAGATAATACAGCCAAGATGTGTATTACATATACAGTTATAACCCAGACACTTTTAGCAGCCCGCCAATGCCATACGCGAATTGCAGTAGCCGCACCCTCGTCATGGTGAGTCTGTGGTTGCGGCTAACAGTGTCACCAGGTCCCTTTCTCAACGAGTCCAAAGCGTGAGAGATTTCTCTCCACGCGGCATATCTCCTTTCGCCCCAGGGATCCTTCTTGCTCAGCTCCTCGTCCTCCTTGACTGTCC